CCTTCTCTACACCCCCCGCTTCCAGCACCCCTTAACACCCCCTCCCCCTATCCTGTCTTTCATACCTATCCCCATGTTCCCTTCTTGGCATGAGACCTTATCCCTTAATCTTACCCATATGGAAGAAAAATATATTTGAAATATATTTTTAAAATATTCTTCCCAAATATATTGACATATACAGTTGTGTTCAAAAATAATAGCAGTCAGACATCACTAACCTGATCAATCACTGTTTTTGGTAGAAATTATATTTCTACATGGCAAATAATTTACTAGCAGGTGTAGTAGAGTAATAGAAATCCAACAGACCCAGCAGCCATGACATGCATGCTGCTGATCTCCTGTGTAACTGAACCACTAATTGAAAGGGACATGTTCAAAATAATAGCAGTGTGGAGTTCTATTAGTGAGGTCATTCATTCTTTGAAAAACAGGTGGCAATTATTGCCCTTATTTAAGGAAGGAAGGCAGCAAATGTTGTACATGCTGGTTACAGAGCATTTCTCCCTGAAATTCTGAGGAAAATGGGTCATTCCAGACATTGTTCAGAAGAACAGCGTACCTTGATTAAATAGTTGATTGGAGAGGGGAAAACATATAAAGAAGTGCAGAAAATGATAGGCTGCTCAGCTAAAATGATCGCAAATGCTTTAAAATGGCAACCAAAACCTGAAAGATGTGGAAGAAAGCGAAAAACTACCATTCAAATAGATAGAATAGTCAAAATGGCAAGGACTCAGCCAACAATCAGCTCCAGGAAGATCAAAGAAGGTCTAAAGTTACCTGTGAGTACTGTTACAATTAGAAGACGCCTATGTGAAGCCAAGCTATCTGCAAGAAGCCCCCGCAAATTCGCACTGTTGAAAAAAAGACGTGCTGAAGAGGTTACAATTTGCCAAAGAGCACATTGGCTGGCCTAAAGAGAAATGGCGCAACTTTTTGTGGACTGATGAAAGTAAGATTGTTCTTTTTGGGTCTAGTGGCCGGAGACAGTTTTTTCAGACGACCCCCAAACACTGAATTCAAGCCACAGTGCACTGTGAAGACAGTGAAGCATGGTGGTGCGAGCATCATGATATGGGGATGTTTCTCATACTACGGTGTTGGGCCTATTTATCGCATACCAGGGATCATGGATCAGTTTGAATACATCAGAATACTTGAAGAGGTCATGCTGCCTTATGCTGAAGAGGAAATGCCCTTGAAATGGGTGTTCCAACAAGACAACGACCCCAAACACCCCAGTAAACGTGCAACATCTTGGTTCCAGACCAACAAGATTGACGTTATGGAGTGTCCAGCCAAATCCCCGGATCTTAATCCAATAGAAAACTTGTGGGTGACATCAAAAATACAGTTTCTGAGGCAAAACCAAGAAATAGAGAAGAACTGTGGAATGTAGTCCAATCATCTTGGGCTGGAATACCTGTTCACAGGTACCAGAAGTTGGTTGACTCCATGCAACACAGATGTACAGCAGTTCTCAGAAACAGTGCTTATACAACTAAATATTCATTAAGTGATTCAAAGGAAAGCAAAATCTTCAAACATTTTTCAGTTTATATAGTGAATGTTTGAGTTTGTAAAGAAGAATACAAACACTGCTATTTTTTTGAACAGTCTAATATTCACTTTTCTTCAATTGTTTTAGAGGAACAACACAAATTTGATCTATTTTTCTTCATGTTTTGATTTGGAATAGAATGTGTAGTGTTCCCAATGCATTTGTGTGTATGGAAATAAAAGCTATTAGAAGGATTTTGAGCTTTATTCACTTTTTTCAACACACTGCTATTATTTTGAAAACAACTGTATTTGAAATGCTACAATTTTGGCCTTATTCAATATATTTCACTAAATATATACTGTATGTTGAAATTCATTTTTATTACAAAATATATGAAAAATATTTTTAAATATACATTTCAAATATACTTTTTTTTTTTAAATATATTTTTTAAATATATCCTTTCGATTTTTTTTAACATATAAAAAAGTAATTTTAACATATATTTTTACATATATTTGTAAATGCATTCCAAAAATGTAGATTTGTATTTTTAAAGACATACAGTATATTTGAAATGTATTTTCAACAATATTTTTCATATATTTTGTAATAAAAACTAATTTGAACATGCAGTATATATATATATATATATATATATATATATATATGCACACACACACACGTGAAACTCGAAAAATTAGAATATCGTGCAAAAGTTCATTTATTTCAGTAATGCAACTTAAAAGGTGAAACTAATATATGAGATGACTCAATACATGCAAAGCAAGATAGTTCAAGCCGTGATTTGTCATAATTGTGATGATTATGGCTTACAGCTCATGAAAACCCCAAATCCACAATCTCAGAAAATTAGAATATTGTGAAAAGGTGCAATATTCTCAGCTCAAAGTGTCCCACTCTAATCAGCTAATTAAGCCATAACACCTGCAAAGGGTTCCTGAGCCTCTAAATGGTCTCTCAGTCTGGTTCAGTAGGAAGCACAATCATGGGAAAGACTGCTGACCTGACAGTTGTGCAGAAAACCATCATTGACACCCTCCATAAGGAGGGAAAGCCTCAAAAGGTAATTGCAAAAGACGTTGGATGTTCCCAAAGTGCTATATCAAAGCACGTTAATAGAAAGTTATGTGGAAGGGAAAAGTGTGGAAGAAAAAGGTGCACAAGCAGCAGGGATGACCTTTTAATTTGCATTACTGAAATAAATGAACTTTTGCACGATATTCTAATTTTTTTAGTTTCACCTGTGTATATATATATATATATATATATATATTTTTTTTTTATTTTTTTTTCTTTAATGAAATATATTGAATATGTTCTAATCCCTCTCCACTCTATCCAAAAGCATAAAAAGTTGCCTTTGCTTATACTTTAAAAAACATCTTGCTGAAAGCATCTGCGCATGAGAAGACCCAGACTGACGTGTTCTTGCAAAAAAAGGTCACCAAGAACTTAACCCTTTTGCTGCCAGAGGTGTGTGTGTGTGTTTGGGGGGGGGGGGGGTTCACACGTTTAAAAAAATAATTTCCTGGAGAATAAAATAGTGACAGTTCCTCACATGATATTTGCATAAATGTTCAGTTAAAAAAAAAAAAATAAATTTCATTTAAGGGAACACAAACTCCACATGTTACCCAATTTTTGATAAATAATAAAATATGATGTTGCTGTAAGTAAATAGGTACCCAATATGTCAAAATGACGACAAGCTTCAGTACCCTGGAGTTGGGGAGTTTCTATGTGATTGGGTTTAGCATTATTTATTGACACTGTTTTTCGCCAAAACTTCACTTACCGTATTTTTTGCTCCATAAGACGCACTTTTTCCCCCCAAAAAAAGGGGGAAAATGTCTGTGCGTCTTATGGAGCGAAAATGGAATGGCCGGCCCGGTATTCCCGCCACATTTGAATACTGGGCCGGCCGCTCAGCTCTACTATGAAGAAGAACCCGCTCCTCCATCCTACCTGTTCAGCGGTGTCCTGCTTCCATCGGCTGTCTTCTCTCCCTGGTGCCGGCATCTTCAGTGTGGACACCTGGCTGTGACAGCTTGCGGCTTCACGGGTGCCCACTGCGCATGTGTGAGAAGCTCTGCGCTTTGTAAATGGCCCCGTAGTCTTGTGGGACCTGTCACGTGTCCCACAAGACTACAAGGGCAGAGGGGGGGGGGGAGGACAACTCCACGGAAGTGGGAGCTGGTACCTGTCAAATTCGGATCCGCAGTCTCTGGTCATCTCCTGTACTGTGTCCGCAGTCTCTGGTCATCTCCTGTACTGTGTCCGCAGTCTCTGGTCATCTCCTGTAGTATGTCTGCAGTCTCTGGTCATCTCCTGTACTATGTTTGCAGTCTCTGGTCATCCCCTGTAGTATGTCTGCAGTCTCTGGTCATCTATTTTAGTATGTCTGCAGTCTCTGGTCATTTCCTGTACTGTCTGCAGTCCATTGGTTTAGAATTTTTTTTTCTTGTTCTCTTCCTCTAAAATCTAGGTGTGTGTTATGGAATGAAAAATACGGTATATCACACAGGGGATGAAAAGTTCCCTATGTAACAAACTCTTTGTGACAGGTTCTTGTTAATAAGACATCAGGGGTCTTTTAGACCCTTGATGTTTTACCTGCCTTCTATTGAAACTAATGGAGCACAGATGGCGCTCCATTAGCTTTTTCCCTGGCCACAGTTAAGTGACAACAGAATTCGGAAGTGACGTTATACACACAGGTAGAGAAGAACAGTAGATGTTTGCTGATATTTGTTGGTCCCTCTCCCTTCCACCTAGCAACACCCACCATGCAGGTCCCAGAAACGTAGTGAAAGAGCGAAGCCTGAGTTCAGCTGGCCACATATTGATAGAAACTCAGCTGAATCAGCAGGATCCGGCCAAATTTTGATCCATGTATGGCCACTGTGGTTGAACAGAAATTGATCTTCTGATCGACTTCTGTTCCACCTCTCTGGCTGTATTATCTCGTTTGATCAGGGCTGCAGGCTTTAGGCTGCAACGCTGATCTGTGTATTTTGACAGCAGGGGGAGTTTCTCCGCTGTCAGTATACAATGACACAGTGGAAAGAATTCCCACATCCCCATCAAATGTGTGGACTGGGGAATCGGCTTAGTGTTTTTTTTTTGTTCGTCCCGCTGGTTGAACGAAAAAACTGACCCATGTACGTCCAGTTTTACAGTCTGGGGGTTACAGAAAGCAGACAGCTGGCTTGTAAAGTGTGCGTAAAACCCCCACTGTCACCAACGTATGACATACAGGGATGGAAGTAAAAGGGCTGAACAAGAACTTCTACACTGTACAGTGGTCCTTTAGAGCACCTGAAGGCCAAAAGTGTTGTAGTATCTAAAGCCCATAGTCCTTTCCCAACTGGTATAAAAAGATAGAGATAAATCATATAACAGCTGTTATGGAAAATAAATAATATTCTAAACCATGTTCATGCTAAGTAGCAGCACCAACTCATACCTGGCCTCCCAGTAATGCTCCTTTCATGGTCATGCTGAGAAAGCTTGTTAAGAGATGCGGTATCCTTACTTAACCTGAAATCAAACTAAATGATAGAAAACACATTCAATAAACAACAGACAATTCCATTTAGTGTTCTGTACTACAAAAGAACATTTTCTCACATTTTAGAAGCATTCCTGGGGCTTGTCAGATAACACTGCTTATTGTATCTGACATTTTGCAAGGGTAAAAATGGCATAAATGCTCATTAGAGACGTTACTGCACACCTTGGCAATATCAGAACCCTGGATTACTCATTTATATTCGTCCCCCCAACCATGACATTTATTATTAATGCATGATGGCTGACTGGGAGCTATTCAAGGTAACTTGTATATAGCTGTAGAAAAAAACAGGACAATAATCAGTACTGCCGATTGAATTTAATTAAATGTTTAACTTTAATAGATGAATTTGCAACCTTTGGGGTCCAGACAAAAATATTGCAATAAGACTCCCTTTCTTAAAGTGACACTAAACCATATTAAAAAAAAAAAATTCCATACACATTCACTATTAAATGACCCTCTATTTTTCATTAAATTGCTTCCTATTGTGTTTTTCTGCCTACTTGTAATGTCCTCTGTGATCTCTCAAACCTCTCCTTCCCCCTCTCACTTCCATTTATTTGGAACATGCAGTGCACATTAGTTGTGGTCACATGCACAGCTCTCTTTATAGTACACATCCCAATGTCCATCTCGGGAGTCAGCAAGAGAGGGTGGCTATATTCCTACATACACCAGGAGCATGGTGAACACTTGAAGACACCCCCGAACAAGAAAACAAAATGAAAGATTTGGAGGAGGTTGAGGCTCCGTTCACACCTTGACAGTTTGAATCGCGGGAAGAATCACCGCAATTCTGCCCACAATTTCAAAATGCAACAGAGACAAATCGCACAATGCAAATTTCAGATGCCATTAATTTTAAAAACACCTATAAGGTAGCAGACCAGATCGTGTGAAGCTTGTCGGCAAAAAAGGAGCAGGAAATCCTTTTGGGCGACAAGCTTTGGGCGATGTGGTTTGCCATGATTCATTGCATGACAATCGCGGCAGAGCTACACAGTGTTTTTAGGTGCTATTATAATGAATGGCATCTGAAATGCGCATTGTGTGATTTGTCTCTGTAGCAGAGCGTTTTGAGATCACAGGCAGAACTGCGGCGATTCTGTCCCCAATTCAAAACGCCCAAGTGTGAATGGAGCCTGAGATCAGTAAAATTCAGTAGATTGTAAAGAGGAGCTCCACCCAAAAGAGTGGGTACCCAAATTTAGGCAATCGGAAGCGGAATGTGTCCTCCCTCCCTCCCTGTAGTCTTTTTGGACACGTGACAGGTCCCAGAAGACTACAGGACCATTCATGAAGCGCAGCACTACTTGCGCATGCACAGTGGGTACCCGGCTGTGAAGCCGCAAGCTATAACAGTCGGGTGCCCACACTGAAGATGCCGGCCTCCTGGAATACAGGACGGCCGGTGAAACAGACTGGGGGGGACACACCGCGGGACCGAGGGACAGGTAAGTGGCTGTTTTTTAAAAGTCAGAAGCTACAGTGTTAACTGTGTCTCTGCACCACAAACCAAAAATGCTAATTAATTTTTAATATTTAGAGCAAACTCACCCACCCGTCCATGTCTGCATGCTTTATGTTGTCATGAAATTACTTCTCTCCATCTTGAGTAAGGGCAGATGATTCATGTAGCATTTACTTCCTGGAATCCATCAGCCCTTACTGTAATAATGGCCTAACAAATCTTGAGCAGACACAAGACACACTTTCACAAGGTCATGCATGCAGGCAGGAGGGTTTATTTAGCTGAGAAAGCCCCTCCTACTCCAGATGAAAGAAAAAATACCCATGAAGACTCCTGGGCTGTATGACATCATTTTGGCCTAGGCCAGAAACCAGTAAGCAACCGAGGAGCATTAAAACAAATGTTTAGCAGCATAAGGATTAAAAATGGTTCATGCTGATTGAAAGAGGTTAGTTCTCCTTTAACTACAGTCCATGTTTATCTTGATGCAGCACAAAAGCAAAGAATTGTTTTAGTAAATGTAGCATATTTTACAGCAATTTGAACATACACTATATTGCCAAAAGTATTGGGACGCCTGCCTTTACACACACATGAACTTTAATGGCATCCCAGTCTTACTCCATAAGGTTCAATATTGAGTTGGCCCACCCTTTGCAGCTATAACAGCTTCAACTCTTCTGGGAAGACTTTCCACAAGGCTTAGGAGTGTGTCTATGGGAATGTTTGACCATTCTTCCAGAAGTACATTTGTGAGGTCAGGCACTGATGTCGGATGAGAAGGCCTGCCTCACAGTCTCCACTCTAATTATCCCAAATTGTTCTACCGGGTTGAGGTCAGGACTTCATTGACTTCACTGGACTTCATTACAATTTTCATTTTTCAGTTGATGGACTTATGTGAAATGATTTAAGTATTTGTGTATATTTACATTGTTATATTTTGTGTCATATTTTCACCCTGCTAGTATATATATATATATATATATATATATATATATATATATATATATTTATAATTTTTTTTTAGCCCCTTTTATTCATGATATTCACATTGTGTTGATAATTTTACCTGTTTACTTTTATCTGTAACAGGAGTGGTCTGCAATACCAGATGAAGGCCACAGTTGTTTACCTGAGGAAATAAAATTTTCCATTAATGAGACCATTAGAGCTTCATATTAGACAATTTAATAGATATAGCACCCTCCCAGTTAGTTTTGGATGCTATGAAAATTTAGTTTAGCTCCTCTGTAGTCAATGGAGCAGTGGTTGATCACTTTAGTTTGCTCAGTGTTTCACAGGCTGCTTATTTTTCCCCGCACTCTAGAGGGTTCTAGAATTATGGTGGAAGGAAAGACATAGAGGCAGCTTGAATATTTATGGGGACCCAGCCAATTCCTGGGGAAGTTTACACAGTAGGTGGCAGGAGAGCCCACAAATAAATAGTCTGAGGCCTGGAGCAGGAGTGAGTGGGTCCTGTCCTGCAAAAAAAGGAGTCCCCAGCGTAAGGGGGCCCTGCCGCTTAGGGCAGTCTGCTGAAACGCTGGTTGAAAGTCATCGAGGTCCCGGCTGTACCATAGCTGGGGGGGACCCATTTCTAAATCCTGGTCAGGGATTTTTGGTATGGAGAGCTCCCTGAAGACTACCCAGTGGAAGTTGGAGGAAAGTGTCCAGCTGCCCTGTGGTATTGTGAGTCTGTGTTTCCATCCCTGAAGAGTGGAGTGCCCAGTGGATATAGGAAGGAGGAAACCGATGATCCTGTGGCATTGGTGAGTACTGACCCTAGACTGTGCGCAAGTTTCAGCTCTTCAGAAAGAGCCCCTAGGCCAGCCTTTCTCAACCTTTTCAACACAAAGGAACCCTTGAAATAAGTTTCTACAACTCATGATACATTAGTGTGATGGCAAGTGGGAAGAATGCTGCTTACACTTGAGGTCATTGGGAAGAGTTACCTCATTACAGATAGCTAAAAAGATCAATGGTATCAGTGGAAACTTATTTGAGAGGCAGAAATTGCTCATTGCTCTAGGACCCCTGGCAACCTCTGGAGGAACCCTGGTTGAGAAAACCTGCCCTAGGCATTGCTTGGCTTGGAGGAAGATGAAAGAAAGAGCGCACAAACCTTGCGCATTACCTCAATAAATAGTGACTAATTTTATTAATAAGGAAATATACTCACAAAATGATTGTATAACAGGCATAAGTAACCATAATCCAAACAGGGTTACAGGTGAATCAAAAAGGGGGGGGGTATGAAGTCTAACGCGTTTCGAAGGGTGCTCCCTTCTTCATCAGAGCTGGGTTTGGCAGATAGAAACTTCAGTATGGCAGAGTTCCCATGGCAAGGAGATATTCAGCCACTGAGTGTCAGTATTACAGCAGTTCAGCCATTGCTTGGCTTGGTACTGACTGCCTATCGCATTTCTTTAGGCCATAAAAATGCCAGGACAGTACAAATATTCCCCAAATTAACCCTTTTTGGAAAGTAGACAGTCCAAGGTATTTAGTAAGAGGCATGGCAAGTTTTTTCAAGTTGTAATATTTTTTTAGAAAATGAAATTAAATAAAATATTTTTTCACAAACTATCACTAGTACAGTACAGTGCCCTCATATGACTGGTGTGGCAGTAAGCAGGGGTACTGACTGGTGACAGTATGTAAAAAAAAATAAAATAAAAATATAATATATAGTAAATAATTTGTTATGCAATTTTTAAAAACATTGTTTCTTTCCGGTATTTTTTTTTTAACATACTGTCACACTGACACTGTACTACTCTGGGGGGGATCATCACTGCTTTTAAACAGTGATGATCACTGTTATAGTCAATACCTTTATCTGTCATGAATGGCTTTCATTCATGACAGCTTGCTTACTACTGTAATGCTGTGTTTAGCTACAGCTAATCACCAGGTACAGGGTACCAATCAGTTTTGCTTACAATGAAATCATGTGATCGCTATGATTGGTAAAAGCAATTAGGTACTGAGCACCGTGATCGACTGTGTCCACAGGACAAAATGGTCACAGGACCGCGCCACTGTACATGTGCACCACAATGTACCAGCACATCACGGTGCCTGAAACTGCCGCCAGCTGACAGTATTTGAAAGTCAAGTGGCAAGTGGATAAGGAGACAATTCACCTGCAGCCCTGCAAATTAGGGGGTGCTCCACTGACCAGCAATGTAACATGACCAACAGTGTAAAGGGCAGCCATACTGACCAGCAGTGTAAAGGGAGGGCCATACAAATCAGCGGTGTAGGGGGGGGGGGGGGGTTGGCTAAACCGACCAAAAGTGTAAAGGGGGGGGGCAACACTAACCGGCAGTGTTAAGAGGGGGGCTACACTGGCCAGCAATGTAAAGAGGTGCTATACCAACCAGCATTGTAAAGGGGGGGTACACCAACCAGCAATGTAACGAGGTGCTACACCGACCAGCAGAGTAAAAGGGGGCTACACTGACCAGCATTGTAAAGGGGGGGCAGCTACACTGATCAGCAGTGTAAAGGGAGGGGCTACACCGACCATCAGTGTAAAGGGGGGGGCATACACTGACCAGCAGTGTAAAGGGGGGGCATACACTGACCAGCAGTTTAAAGGGCGGGCTACACAGACCAGCAGTGTAAAGGGGGAGATACACCAACCAGCAGAGTAAAGGTGGGCCTACACCAACCAGCAGTGTAAAGGGGGTCTACAATGACCAGCAATGTAAAGGGGGCCATACTGATCAGCAGTGTAAAGGAGGGCTACACTGACCAGCGGTGTAATAGCAGGGGGGGAAACACTGACCAGCAATGTAACATGGTGCTACAGAGACCAGTAGTGTAAAGAGGGGGCTACAATGGCCAGCGATGTAAAGGGGAGGCTACACCGACCAGCAGTGTACGAGATGGGCTACACGAACCAGAAGTGAGGGGGGGGGGGGGGGGGACTACAGTGTAAAGGGGAGCTACACTGACCAGCAGTTTAGCAGTTTAAAGGGGGGCCACAATGACCAGCAATGTAAAGGGGGGGGGGGGGTCAAAACTGACCAGCAGTGTACGGGGGGGGGGGGGGCTATCCGACCAGCAGTGTACTGGGGGGGGGGCTACTCTGACCAGCTGTGTATAGGGGCAGCTACACCGACCAGAAGTGAAAAGGGGGGGGGGAACCGACCAGAAGTGTACATGGGGGGATACACTGACCAGCAATGAAAAAGGGTAAAACACCGACTAGCAATGTAACGAGGCGCTACACCAACCAGCAATGTGAAGGGGGGGCCACAATGGCCAGAAGTGTACAGGCTGGGGCTACACTGACCAGCAGTGTAAAGTGTATAAGGGGGCTACACCGAACAGCAGTGTAAAGGGGGGGCTACACTGACCAGCATTAAAACTGGGGGTACACTGACCAGCAGAGTAAAGGGGGGCTACATAGACCAGTAGTGAAAAGGGGGGTGCTACACTGACCAGCAATGTAAAGGGGGCCATACTGAGCAGCAGAGTAGAGGAGGGCTACACTGACCAGTGGTCTAATAGGAAGGGGGGTTACACTGACCAGCAGTGTACGGGAGGGGGCTACACTGACCAGCAGTGTACGGGAGGGGGCTACACTGACCAGCAGTGTAAAGGGTGCCTACACAGACCAGCAGTGTAAAGGGGGGGCTACAATGACCAGCGGTGTAATGCAGTGCTATACTGACCAACAATGTAACAAGGTGCTACACTGACCAGCAGTGTAAAGAAGGATCACATTGGCCAGCAATGTAAAGGGGGAGCTACAGTGACCAGCAGTGTAAAGGGGGAGCTACACTGACCAGCAATGTATAGAGGGGGTACACTGACCAGCAGTGTAAAGGGGGGGCTACACTGACCAGCAGTATAAAGGGGGGGCTACTCTGATCAGCAGTGTAAAGGGGGGCAAACTGGCCTGCAGTGTAAGGAGGGGGGGGGGGCTACAATGACCAGCACTGTAAAGGGGGGGCTACACCAACAAGCAGTGTACAAGGGGTGCTACACCGACCAGCAGTGTACAAGGTGGGGGTACACTGACCAGCAGTGAAAATGGGGGGCTACACTGACCAGCAGTATAAAGGGGGGGATACACTGGCCAGCAGTGTAAAGGGGGGCTACACTGACCAGCAGTGTAAAGGGAGGGTGGGTGCTACACTGACCAACAGTGTAAAGGGGGGGCTACACTGGCCCGCAGTGTAAAGGGGGGGGCTAAACTGGCCAGCATTGTAAAGGGGGGCTACACCGACAAGCAGTGTAAAGGGAGGCTACACTGGCAAGCAATGTAAAGGGGGCCTACACTGGCCAGCAGTGTAAAGGGGGGGGGCTACACTGGCCAGCAGTGTAACAGGAGGGCTACACTGGCCAGCAGTGTAACAGAGAGCTACACCGACCAGCAGTGTAAAGGGGGGGGACTACAGTGACCAGCAGTATAAAGGGGGGCTATACTGACAAGCAGTGTAAAGGGAGGGGCAACACTAACCAGCAGTATAAAAGGGGGGGGCTAAACTGACCATCAGTGTAAACTGGGGGGGTGCTACACCGACCAGCAGTGTACAAGGGGGGCTACACTGACCAGCAGTGAGTGTAAAGAGGGCTACACTGACCAGCAGTGTAAAGTGGGTGCTACACTGACCAGCAGTGTAAAGGGGAGGGGGGTGCTACACTGCTACCAACAGTGCTACACAAAGGGGGGCTACACTGGCCAGCAGTGTAAAGGGGGGCTACACTGGCCAGCAGTGTAAAGGGAGGGGGGGTGCTACACTGACCAACAGTGCAAAGGGGGGCTACACTGACCAGCAGTATAAAGGGGGGGCTACACTGACAAGAAGTGTAAAGGGGGGCTATACTGACCAGCAGTGTAAAGAGGGGGGGCTACACTAACCAGCAATGTAATTAGGTGCTACACTGACCAGCAGTGTAAAGGGGGCCACAATAGCCAGCAATGTAAATGGGGGGGGGGGGGGGCTACACCGACCAGCAGTGTACAGAGGGGGACTACATCGACCAGCATTGTACAGGGGTGGGCTATATTTGCCAGCAGTGTAAAGGGGGGGGCTACACTGCCAGCAGTGAAAAGGGGGGCTACACTGGCCAGCAGTGTAAAGGGGGGGCTACACTGACCAGTAGTGTAAAGGG